TGACCTTCCTTGTCCATAGGAATTCACGCTGCAAACCTGTTTCTTTCCATGTGATTTACATCCATGGAAAACCAACTAAGGGTCCACTATGCATTGGTCTTGACTTGGCAGCATTGACATGTTTCACGGTAAAGAGTGAGGCCTTTCTTCCGAGGCACTTCTGGAGAGATTTGCACTGCCAACTCTGGTTAGTAGCTGAGTGCACGAACTGCTTGCACTCCTGGGTTACTGACGTCCTCTCTAAAAGGTAGCTGGTCCTGTGCTCTCATCCGTCCCTCACCTGAGGGTCCCTGCCCTCGTGAAGGGTGAACCCTCGTGATTTCACCAGGAGCAAAGGATGCTTCCGAACTGCCAGCCTCACTGGGCCAAGGAGCACAGAGGGAGCAGCCCAGCCCATGGCAGAGACTTTTGCCCCTTCTTTTAGAAAGATCTCTCTCTCATTGCCTGCTTGTGAACTGAGTTGTAACCGACCCTCCTCTGGGTTTCTGAGACTGAAAATCACACAGGGGGAGACTGCCTCTCTCTCTTCTATGGAGCTGCTGATGGATTCGAACTGCCAAAGAGGTGCTACCTTTGGGTCAGCAGCGTGACATCCTCTGGAGCGCTCCACGTTTCGACAGAAAGGCAGGCAGGCTGCCTGGGTGGGCTCCAGGTCACAGCAACCTCAGGTGCAATCAGATAAAATATCACCCGGTCCTGTTCCATCCCCTGATGACCGGCTTGCTTGCGTCCATCTCACAGAGGGTCTCCCTTGAACATACTGAACCTCTACTTCACCTAAGGCAACGTCCTCCTCTGAAAACCAATCCTGCCTGATGACATGTCCAGACCAGACAAGCTGGGCACGGTTCTGCGGAATCTGTAAGGTTTCCACTGGCTGACAGCCAGAGCAGCTCACCTTTCTCCCTGGTCTTATTCTAAAAATGCCACTGAAATTGGTCCTCTATGGATCATCCGGATGGTATTTGAAATGCCAGTGATATAGCTTCCGATATCACATTAACACACAGCCACCCTGGCCTGGCAAACCGATGATGGGTGGTGCTCATCTCCTTTACCCACTGGTCGATCCCCCAGTAACCTGAACAGGCTTTTCAACCCAGACATTGGTCAGAGAGCTGGACAATGAGTAAGGATGCTAGAAGAAAAATTGGTATCTTTCTGGGTTGTGCTGGAGCCGAGTGCTGAATATCCCATGGACAGCCAAAGGAACAAACAGATATGTCTTGGGAAAAGTGCAGTCAGAGTGGTCCTTGGAGGCAAGAGTGCTGAAGCTTCATCTCACACGCTTTGGGCATGTTGTCAGGAAGAGTTATTCCTTAGGAGAGGAAATCATGTTTACAAAGGTGGAGGGTCAGCAAAGAGAGGAAGACCCTCAATGAGATGGATTGACACAGTGCCTGCAGCAATAAGCTCAAGTGTATCAGAGATGGCGAGGGTGGTGTGGGCGAAGACGGGGTTCACATCTACTGTTCACAGGGTCACTGAATTGTACTTGATTCGACAGCACCTAACAACCACCACCACCTAGAACAGTGGCACATAGTAGGTCCTCAATAAATGCTGTTGAATGATGTCTTCAGCACAGCGTGTGTTTTGTAAATGTTTCCTCACCATGAGTAGGGTGTTAGGCAAGTGAAGTAACTTACTCCTTTATCAGTATAAGGAGATTTTCAGCTCATTGTCACCTGATGTGACAACAGAACTGTCCCACAGAGCCTCCTGGGCTGGAGTCTTTAATGAAGCAGATCATCAGGTCTTTCTCCTGCGGGGTCACTGTGTAGATGTGAACAAATAATCTTCCATTGACAGTAAAATTCTGGGAATGAGAGAGAGGAGAGGAGAGGGGAAGGGAGGGGAGGGGAGGGGAGGAGAGGAGAGGAGAGGAGAGGGGAGGGGAGGGGAGGGGAGGGGAGGAGAGGAGGGGAAAGGGGAGAGAGGGGAGAGAGGGGAGAGGGGAGAGAGATAATTGAAGACGTCACACTCCATTGCTTCCTGTTTCCTTTCCACAGTACCCCCATTCCTCCCACTGGTCTCCGCACCTCGCCTCTTACTTACTCTCGTGTTCCCCAGCACACATCACGTTGCACCTTCACCAGCTTCCTGTTCCTCTATGGCCTGAGCATGCTTGTACCTCACGGCCTCTACACGAAGAGCCAGGCCGGCTCTGTCCTAGCCAATCACATGACCGGCTCTTTCCTCATCTTCAGATTTCAGCTGAAAGGCTCTTCTTTAAGTCCTTCTTCCTTAGCCGCTCAGGCCAGAAACCCCACAAATCACCACCCATCGCGGGGCCTCAGGCACCGTGGGTTCCAGCCGGCACACCCAAGCCCTTCTAAGCACTGCACTGTGCCCCGCTCTGCTGACCCCCATCCTGCTGGGCCTGCAAGACAGGCCCTCACTCGAACTCAGAGCAGGCCAGCTCAAAACACAAAGTCACTCAAAACTCACTGTTGATGAGTCGGGAGCTGCTCATTGCAGAGCTTCTGAAGGTTTGTGAGGCTATAGATTAGATGGGAGACGACTGCCCGTTTTTCTCCCATGGAGCTGCCGGTGGATTCTCACCACAGAGCAGCACAGGCTTGGGGTGAGCCGTGTAGCTACCCACTGACCACACCACCAGGATCTCCCTCCAGAGGGCAGGATGGGGCAAGCCCTTCTCCTTCCTCCCTCTGGTGCCGTGAGGTGAGGCCCGGGACAGGCCATGTCCCTCCTGGGCCTGGGCTTAGTCTGGGCCACCTCTGGACAGGACTGAGCCTTCCCCTGTGTTCAGTGTCATACCTCCCACCCAGACAGGCCGCAGTCCTTCTGAGTGAGTCAGCTCCCTCTGCCCAGAATCTGGGCAGCCCATTGACTCCTCTTACTTGGAGTCAGTGGAATCTGTCCTGAGGGTCACATAGAACCAGGGTGGGGACACCCATGTGGTGTGACACCTTTCCAGGTATGCTGTCACTGCTCTTATTCTAACTGCTGGAGGTAGACTCTTGCCCTCCAAGCCTTTCCCCGCTGAAGCCCCTGGTTCCCCTGGAGGGGGCAGGCAAGCTCTCAAGGAGACCCTGACGAGGAATTGTGGTTCAGTGAGCCTCCTGAGGTGTGGTGCCAACCTCCTTCCTTGGCAGCACCCATGGGGGTGAAGTTGGGGCCACCCCCTTACCTTCCTAACACTGTCCCCCTTCTCGCTCCTTCTCCACAGGCTTCCTCCTACAGATGGAGGAGGAAGGAGCAGAGGGCTGGGGAACGCCATTGGCTGCAGGCCAGTTCTGCCATGTCCCGTTCAGTGCTGTGGGAAGGAGCCCCAGCGGCACAGGGATTAAGTCTTTAGTTACTAATATAAAGGTGGGCAGATTGAACCCACCCGCCAGTCCAGGGAAGAGATGTCACAGCTTCTGTAAAGATGCAGCCGTGGAAACCTTGCAGGGCGGATCTGCTCTGTCCTCCAGGGTCGGTATGGGCTGGAACACACCACAGCTGCGGGCTCCGTTTGCTTTAGAAGGTACTTCGCCTTGACATTCTGGAATTGCTTCAGCTTCTCATTTCTAACAAGTGTTGGGGGCCCTTGTTACCGATTCTGGGGCACCCAGAAATGCCCCCTCCGTGGCCTGCCCTTTGGAACACACGTGATGGACCAACCGTAGGCTTGGCGCTGCTGAATGCCCTGCCCCCTGCCCTCAGTGCTGAGAACAGCGCCCACTGTGGGCCTCTGGAAGTATGACATGGACAGACCGTGGTGCCTCAGTGAGCTCATGTGGGCAAGTGACAAGAAGCGGGGGATGAGGGAGGTGAGGGAGGGCCAAGGTGGTGGTGACAGTGACACCAAGTATCAGGATGTCCCCAGAGAAGCTCCTCATAGGACTGTGAGGCAGCTCTGTCCTGGGCCCCCGCAGGCACCAGCCTCTCCCCTGCTCCTGGCCAGGCCTTCAGGAGCCCGAAGAGGGGGCTGGCCACAAGCTGTCCTGCCTTTGTCACCCTGTTCGGAACCTGTGACTTAACCCTGTTTCCTTGTTTGTGGACGTGGAGTCGCAGATGTTTAAAGGATTAAGTGAGCTCATACGTAGAACATGCTTAGCACACGCAGATACAGGCATCTGGGGGTTGCAGTTATCGGCATTATGGGGACAGACTCAGGTGTGTGCCCCAAAGCTGGTGCTCTCTGCATGGAACCTCACCCTCTGGGTAGGAGGTTTGGGGGCGGGGGAAGGTGAGGACAGCACCTGAGGAGCCTGGGGCTTGGAGGGTTGAGGCTTGGGTGAGGGCGACCTCAAGGACAGCCTGAGGTGCCAGGTGGTAGCCGGCAGCCCTGACACAGCGGGCAAGGAGCCTCCTCGGGCCTTTAATCAGGGAGAGCCACGAGGAGGGGAGTGTTTTAGGGAGATTAATCTGGCAGCCGTGGGCAGGATGCAAGACAGCGTGGCTCAGTGCACGGGGCTCGCCAGCAGGAGGTCATTAAAGAGAGTGGCCGCATTGCTGGCTCCCTGCACACTGGGTTCCCGGCAGCTAAGAGGATGGGCCCCTCCTTAAGAAAGGCGCTGAGGGGCCAGCAGGGGGTGCTGTGCTGTCGCCAACAGGGGCCAGGCCAGGGGAGCTCTGGCCTGGGGCAGTCAGCAAACAGGACTGTCAGCCAGCAACTGGGGAAGGAGGGCCAGGCGGCCCCACCCCAGCAGCCGGGTAGGGTCCAAGCCGAGCACTCCAAGAGCCACCAAGTGCCATCAAAGGCTGCTGCCACCCACAGAGGCTCCCCCCCCCAGCCTCCTAGGGAGGTGACAGACTATAGCACCAGCCTAGGGTGCTCCCCAAGGGCCCGACCCCCACACAAGGTTCCCAGCCAGGGTGTAAAACGGAACCAGGGTTGCACCAGCCAAGAACGGAAGGAACCATGGCTGCTACATTTTCACTTGTTTTATTTAAAGCTGTCAGGATCTATTGGAAGTGCATAGGCAATTCCATCTTCTCTCATCTTCCAAGGAGAAGGCACCTCTTTGCCAGCTTCGCCTTGGTCACTGCCGCCCCATCCCTTCACACCAGCGAGTGGAAAACCTCCACCTTCTCGCGGTACAGGTGGAAGAACTGCTTGGCCAAACAGTGGAACGGGGCCTCGTAGTTTTCCATCTCCTTCTGCGGAGAGAAGTTTAACAAGTGGGCCGTGTTATTTCTGCCAGTAGCCAGGCAAGCCAGCTCTCCCCTGATGCTTCCCCGGCGTTGCACACAATTTGTCTTGTTCCAGTCAGCCACGCCACTGCTGGGTAGCGAGTGATTCCACCATCGAGCCAAGTGTACAAGAAGGAAACTGAAGCAGGGAGAGATCGAAGGGAACTAACTGAATTGTGTATATGGTGGAGCTGGGATCCGAACCTGGGTCTATTTTATTTGGGGCATATACTTCCACTGCTCTAGCTAAGTGAATTGTTGTTGTTGTTGTATAGCGTAGAGTCGTAACTGACCCATAGTTGACCCTCCAATAGGTTTTCAGGGGCAGTTAATCGCATGGGAGGAGACTGCCCATCCTTCTCCCGCAAAGCAGCTGGTGACCTCGAACCACGTGCCTTCGGGATTGCCACGCAGCTTCTTGCCACTAGGCCACCAGAGCTCCCAGCTAAGTGAGGAGAAGATGTTAAAAGGAGACTTTCTTGCTTAGTTTTCATTAAGGTTCCAAAGGCAAAGCAATATAAAAGATGGAAAAGGTCAGAGGAGAATGAACCCGCCAAAGGACCCAGCTATTCCACTGCTAGGGATATACCCTGTGGGGGACAGAACTGAGACACAAACGGAGATCTGGACACTGATGTACACAGCAGCGTTATTCACAATAGCAAGAACATGCAAACAGCCTAAATGTTTGTCCACAAACGACTGACTGAGAAATGGTACATCGACGCTATGGAACACTATGCAGAACTCAGGAGCAACAATTTCATAAAATACTATGTAAATGGGAGAAGCTACAGAGCATTATGCTGACTGAACTAACTCAGATGTATAAGGACAAACACCGCCTAAGACCATTAACTGTAAAACCAGAAGGACAACCAGTGAGATCTGCATGGACATCCAAAAAGGAAAGGGGAGAGGGCGGGGGTGCTAAGTTTGGGGAGGGGGAAATCATGGGGCCAGGGCTACAGAATTTGGTGGCTGGAGGGAGGAGGTGGAAAACCCCCCAAAACAATGTACATGAATGAAACACAGTGTAAGGAAATATGTAAATTAATAATAATAATAATAATAATAAAATGAACCCACCAGGGTTACTGGTCCAACAGAGACTGGAGGAAGCCCTTTACTTCTCCTTCAAGCCTGGAACAAAGATCTATGGCTCAACTCTGTTGTTCTGCGTGACTGAGTGTCTCCCTGGCATGGTTAAGGTTCACCTTCGAGGCCTGCCTACTGTTTGGCTGAAAGGGCAGCTTTTGTCCAGGGAAAAAGCTGAGAAGGCAGGAAAGGAGAAGACAGAAGGATGGATGGAAACAAGAATCGTAAGGGAGAGGAGGGAAGAGTGTTGTTACCCTGTGAGGACTATGACCAATGATGATTTTTATGACCAATGTCATAAAACCAAATGCACACGAATGGCCGAACAGAAAAATCAATGTACTCTATAAACGTTCACTCGGATCACAATACAAACGAAAAAGGAAAAAAGGTCAGGATGAGCCCACCTCCAGTGGAAGGAGGGAGAGAGAGGATAAAGGATGGAGGAGAGAGATCCAAGAGAACTCGGTGGAGAAAGAGGTCTACTGAGAATGTGGGGTGGGATCTTCCCAGGGAGGGCGCCTTTCCTTCACTTGGAACTCAGCGGGTTGGGGCTGGGGGTGGGGGTGGCCGGGGTCAGGCGACTGGGGGCTCGAGGGAGGCCTTGAGCTGGTATGGACTTGGTGAACAGCCAGATGAGGATGGTACCTCCCGTCTGTCCGCCCCACTGACAGGCCATGGTGGTTGCCCGGCTCATCTCTGGCCACCTTGAGCCCCTCCAGGAAGGCTCAGTACTCATCCACCAGGAAGGTGCTGGGTCTCCACAAACGTCAGCCAGGAACCAGACGCGGGGTGTGTGTGTGTGTGTGTGTGTGAGCGCTGAGGCCTCTTCAAAGAGGGATCACCTCTGTCACAGATGACACCCCTCAAGTCTACAGAGGCCAAAGCCGACTTTGGCAAGGCTACAGCATTCCTCATCCAGCATCCCTCCCCGCCCACCAGTGACCAGGTGAGGAAGCCTGGCCTCAGTTTACCGTGGGGCACAGGCTGTGGCAGGTGGGCCATGGAGGGAAGGCTCTTTGACTTCACACCAACCTTGGAATTTTGACAGTTATCCAGGACCTGGTATTTTAATAACTGAACTAATGAACAATCTTATGAGGAAAGATCTGTTCGATCATAAGAGAGGTCAGAAGAGTGTGGGAACTTGCCCGGGATCATTTCTAAGGGGATGGGGGGGAGGGGCGGTGTAAGGACAGGCTCTGGATGGGGGAGGGGGTGCGGAAGAGGCTCCGCTCTCAATCTACCTCCATTGTTCTCGCCTCCTCTGTGTGCATGTGTTTAAATTCTGTTTTAAGAAATACGTTGGCAGGAGAAAGGATGTGCTGCTTTCAAGACTGCAGCTCAGGCTTGGAATGTAAAAGAGGCTGTTTTGAAATGATCGGTGGCAGCTGCAAAACAGTGAGGCCTCGACAGGGGCTGGAGAAACGTTTCCAACAAAAAGGAAAGACCTTCCCAAATGAAGAGCGTGCCAGCAACCACCAAGTTCAGTGCCTGCATTACGCAGATGAGCCAACCAGGGAGGTGGCGCTTGACTACTAGCTCGGACCTCAGCGGTTCAAACCCCCCTAACATCACTTTGGTAGGCAGGCCTGGTGGCCCTCTGTAGAAAGGTCACAGCTTTGAGAAGCTAGCTCTGTACACACGGGGTCACCGAGTTGAGATTGACTTGTTGGCAACTACCTGAACACAGGCCATCTGGGGCCCAGAAGAAGTGGGCTGCTCGGATCACAATGCCCTAAGTTGCACCAACGTCCAATGTGATGTTGAAGTGTTGAGAGAAAAGAGAACGAGGCCTGAATCTCATGCACACACTGCTTTCTAATCAGATTCAAAAGTTCTTGAAAGCAAGATCTTGGGAGAATACAACATGAATAATAAGGACTTCACATGTGCCAACCTCAGCGTAGCCCACGGGTGCTCCTGAAACAGACACAGAAACAGAACTGTTCTAGATGCAGCCAGGGTTTCCAATCTCAGGGACTCTTTTCTGAAAGGGTGAATCATACCCTCACTTACATGCTTTGGAAAGTTCTAGAGTAGGTTTGCTTGGAGAGAGGTATCACAAGAGCAGCCTCAGACGAGTACTTGGCCAGGCCGAGAATTCTGTCCCTGAGGGTCTCAAGGTAGCCAGGCATGTGGGAGAACAGAGCTGCCTCCCTCCCCCATGTCCCGGGAGCATCCCTTCTAGAAGCCCAGGACTTGATGCCAGAAGACCTCAGTTCTAGCCACTCCAGAGCTGTGTAACCAGGGAAGGTGACTTAACCTCTCTGAGCCTGTCACCACCTGTGACACAGGGACACAGGGCTGTTAGGAGGCGGAAATCAACAGTAAATGCCAAACACCTGGGGCACAGGAGACACCTCACCAGCACTGGTCCCTCCTCTCATTTCCCTGTGTGGCCAGTGACACCTGCCTATGGCCTTGGCTTCAATTTTTTAGCTACACTGAACTTCTTCTAACTTCTTATACTGTTTTATTAATTTTAATTCTGTTTAAAGAACTGCTTTCCCCCCTGGTCTGAAATGTCCAATTGCTGATAGGCCAGATGGGCAGGGGACGGGCAGGCCCCTCCCTGAGGTCAGCAAGGTGACTGCACTGTGCTGAGCACGATGAGATGGGCTTGGTGTGGGGACTCAAGACAAGGGGATGAGCTTGGCGTGGGGACTTGACGAGGGGACGGGCTTGGTACGGGGACTCAGCGAGGGGACAGGCTTGGTGCAGGGACTCGATGAGGGGGGCACAGGGTTGGCACAGGGACTCGACGAGGGGATGGGCTTGGTGCTGGGACTCGACGAGGGGGGACAGGCTTGGTGCGGGGACTTGACTACTGGGGCATAGGCTTGGCACAGGGACTTGATGAGGGGATGGGCTTGGCGCAGGGACTCGACGAGGGGATGGGCTTGGCACAGGGACTTGGGGACTCGAGGGGATAGGGTTGGTGCGGGGACTTGACGAGAGGAGGACAGGCTTGGCACAGGGACTCTGACGAGGGGACAGGCTTGGTGGAGGGACTTGGGGACTTGATGAGGGGATGGGGCTTGGTGCTGAGACTCAACAAGGGGATGGGCTTGGTGCAGGGACTCCACGAGGGGATGGGCTTGGCTCAGGGACTCGATGAGGGGACGGGCTTGGCACAGGGACTTGATAAGGGGACAGGCTTGGTGCGGGGACTTGGCTGTGTCTCAAGCAGCACTAGGTTATATTTCCTTTTTAATTACAGCTTTCTTACCCGAGCTGCCAGTGGTGCTTCTGTTAGCATCAACTCAGGGGGGACTAGTTAACTTGCGCAGTTAATACCGAGTACTTAACTGCAGCCTTCTCAAGCATAATTTACACCTACTCTTCTCGACAGCGTCCCCACACCTGAATGCGGCAGATGTACAGAGAGCCCTGGTGGGCAGTGGCGATTGACAGGCCGGGCTGACTTTTAAACTTAAGAGTTCCAGGAAGATGGGCAGAACATACGGGATCTTGGGGTGAGGCGACAATTTCTCCAGGGTGAGTGCAGGAAGATGGAATACTGAAAAACTATTCGTCACAGCCGAGATCTTACTGCTGCGCTCAGAGGCTCTCTGTATAAAAGATGAACAACTTCCTACAGGTGAAAGCCCACTAATTTGGACTTCATTAGTTTAGCACTTGGGATAGTTGGGCCGGCAAGGGTAACATTTATCTTTGCACAACCTGTGAATATCAAGATGTAATCAGTAGTAATAGTGCAAAAAGATTATTTGGGGGTAGGAGAGAGAGGACATTTGTACCTAAAAGAAAGCTATAACTTGAATTGTTTCCTATGCCCTAGGCTTTTTCTATTCACTATCTAGCTGAGTGTTTTATATTACCCCCTTATTCAATTCTCATATTTACTACTCAGTTAGGGCTGTATTTTATAATCCCCATTTTACAGATGAGAAGCCTGGGGCACTGCTGGAGGTCACTTTAAAACACGATACTCCTCTGAGGACTCGCACTGATTTGGGGAGACAGAAGAAGTTCACATTCATACTGTTTTTAAATGCCGTGGAGTCAATTTTAACTCAGGGTGCCCACTGGGTCCTCAAAACTGTGGGCTTTCAGAAGCTGGTCACCAGGCATGTGGCCCACGGCACCTCTGGGTGAGCTCAAACCGCCAACCTTTTAGCTACCAGTTGAGTGCTTCACTGTTCCCATGTGGACAGGCAATTGATTGGCACTGTCAGAGCAGTCTGACAGATGCAATCACCGCAGAAGCCATTAGCGGAAGGAGGGTTAATGTTAATGGTCTCCAGGGTCCTAGTTAGCCCACTGACAAGGAAAGGCCTGGGAACCGGGTCTGGAGGCCACAAAGTCAAGGGCAAGGGCTGTGTCACTGCTCCTGAGCTGCAGGCCAGGCAGACTGTCCCGATTACCTGGGTGAGGGTGAGGCAGCTTGGACCTGAGCCTCGCTGATCCTACAGGAAACAAGACTGCACGCGTGTCCCGTCCAGAGCCCTGTCTCCCAGGGTGCACCTGACTTCATGGGGAGCCTGGGTCTCTGCCTGTACCCTGGCTTCAGGGAGATTCCCAAGGGGGCTCAAGGGGGCTCAGCAGCGCTGGGCAGCCAAATGTGGAAGCAGACGGGCCACCAGGCAGTGCAAACAGCTACGAACCAGCAGGTGGAGTCAACCCAGAGGCACCTTGGAAGAAATGTCTGGCAATCCATTTCAAAAACTCGGCCACTGTAAACCCCGTGTGCTCGGTTCCCGCACTGGAATTGACTTGACCAGTCGAGCAATTGGTTTTAACCCCCTAAAGAAACCGGCAACAAATCCTTCTGGTTCCTGCACTTAATGAAGGGGCCAGCTGACTCTGCTGGGGGGCTGTCCATGGCCTGGAATCCCCTGGGCAGCAGCAAGCAGGGGACAAGGAGCCAGGTGGGAATTAGAAAGCATGGGCTTTGGTCCTGACCTCGCCCTTCACCAGCCATGGGAGAGTCTCCCGACCACCTCAGCAGTGACTCAGGGACTGAGAATCCAGCTCCCATCCCCAGGACGGACTTGTCAGGGGGGCTCCATGGAGATCATGTTCAAGTACACCGTCAGATCTTAGCTCATGACAAGATCACAGGACACTCTGACAGAACACGGTTATACAGTTGCTTTTCCCACTGAGATACCTCTTACTGCAGCACAGGCTTTAATATAAGGTACAGAGTGGCTCATGCTAGACCGGGAAGCTATCTCAGGCTAAGAATGTAAACATGGCTCCAAATGAAGCGTTGTATATGGCTGGGAGAGCAACTCTCTGCCCACGAGGACGCGTGAATAGCCTCGTGTGCGTGAATAGCCGCTTCCAGCTGAGGCCCACTCCAGACTTGGCGCCCGTGCCTTCAGGGGGTACTTACCACTGAAGCTTCAAAACATTCCAGGCCTTGGCCCAGTGCCCACGCGCGGGCCTGTTCTGACTCCACCACCCGCCGGCCAGCCAGGTCTGTCTTATTCCCCACGAGCACACCTACTTGAAAGAAACACAGAGCAGGCTCAGGGTGCAGCGGGAGGGAACAGAGAACAGCCTCTAGAGTTTTAGGGGTTCGAAGCAGCACATGAGACAGGTAGGCCGGCCCGGGGACCCCTCTGGGCTTCCGAGAAGACAGGGGTCTGTGTTCCTGACCACAGATCATTCTTTTCTGGAGACTTCACAGGTCTACCTGGACACCCCCAAGTTGCAAGCTCAGTGGTAGCAATGGCCCCATTGCTGGGAGCATTTGCAGTAATTCCTAGCATGTGGTCTAAACTTTCAAACTGGCCCTTACTGCTGCTCTGAGCTCTTGGCTGTACCGACTACAGCGATTTCCCACCTGTCCCTGAAGATGGCTCGCCCTGGTCGATGACGAGAAGAATTTGTTGATCTCACAGATGGATGGAAAATAAACTGAAGCAAGGCATTCGGAGGGGAAGATAAGGCTTGAGTGTTTACATGACTCCACACACGTGAGAAGCTGGGGAGAGGTCAGTTTTCTGGCAGTAACTGGGGAGGGAAGGGCAGCCCCTGTCTCCTCGTTAGCTCAGATTCCCATGCACCCTGCAAGGTGTATGGTGTTGCTGTCATTTCAGTTAAGGAACTTTTAAATGTGGAGAATTAACTTAAAATTGTGGGCAATTAAATGAGCATGTGAAGCTGATGTTTCATGACCCGCTCTGTGTTTTGTCTAGACCAGCATGTTTCGGAAGTTCGACACGCTTCTAGAATGAGAGGATGTGACTCACTCCAGTCTGTACGGCTGCTAAGATGCTGGGCCAGTGCCCAGCCTGCTCTGGGCCCACATCACCTCACCAATGGCCTCTTGCAAAGGCAGAGGGAGGAAGGGCCAGCTGTGCACTGAACTTACCTGGGAGGGGGCTCCCGGGGGCCTGAGACCGCACCTTCTCCAGCCACTTGCTGCAGTTGTTGAAGGACTGTTCGTTGGTCACATCGTAAACGAGACACAAGACGTTGGGATTCTCCCACTGTGTGGAGGGACAGGAGGGCACAGTACTGGGGACCTGGCCTCTAGGTAGAGGGACAGCTTGCCCTTCCACAGGAAGCAGGATGTATGTTGGGGGAAAGGAAAAACTGGCAGTTCTAAAACAGAGGTGCTTGACTTGCATCAGAATGACTGATCCAAGACGGAGCCCACCTTCCCCTTAAACTAGACCAAACCTATTGCTGTCAATCCATCCCAAGCCCACTGAGACCTCACAGGGCAGGACAATGCAGCCTCCCAGGACCTCCAGGGCCGGACTCTTTACAGAAGCAGACTGCACCGCACCTCTTTCACCAGGTGCTGGTGGCTTTCAGCGGCTAACTGCTAGCCTGGCAGGTAAGAGCTCAACCACTGTACCACCCAGGCTCCTCCTGGGCTCCAGCTCTCCAGCTCCACTTTCCCTTACTTGCCCTGCGACTGCCAAGCCTTCAGACAGACTTAAGTACATAACAAAGGGTTTTCCCTGCAACTGTCAAATCCTTAGACCAGCTTAAGCACATAACAAAGGGAAGGGCTTTTCTCTGTGGTTCAACTAAAGATGCAGAAAGAAATGTTCCTCCGGATGGGTTTATCACAAGATCCTGATTGGAAATGCCCTCAGCAGCCTTCAGGAAACGGTTGAAGAGAACCACGGCCACCTTGTGAAGGAGCTCTTCAAAGTGTCAAGGAGCAAGGATGTCATCGTAAAGATTAAAGTGCGCCTGATGCAAGCCACGGTCTCACCGAGGGCTTCTGATATGACATTGTGCTCACGTCCATCATTTTTGTTAAGCGCCTGCCATGGTGCTTGCTGGCTGCTCCTGAGGCAGGCTAGGGCGAAAGAAGACACAGACTAAAGGAAACAAGGGAACCTGGTTAGCAGACGAGACCCCCAGGTGCAGTGGCAGCTTTGACCAAGTAAGAGAAGGTTAAGTTCAGCAATAGGTAACAGAACTGGTCCAACAGCAGGAGGTGTGCTGCCCCGGAACCTAGTGAGGGAATTTTAACTAACCTAGACCTTACTCCTCCTGTACCTAAATGACCTCTAGCACCTTTGCCCAATTAACCATAATCATAATGCATGTAAAAACGAGCCAATAGAAAAGAGACCCCCACCACCACCTGTAAGCCTCTGTAAAGAGAGAATGTTGTGCCTCCTGGAGCCTGAGCCTTGAGAGGCTGTGGTCCCTGTCAGCGCTCTCCGCAGACAATAAAGTCTTCCTGGTTTCACCAAATGAGCTGTAGCGCTGTTCCTTCGCCTGGAGTCGCTGGACAGGAGGTCAACTTCCTGTAACACTGTCTGATTTGCAGGCATGAGCAACGGTTCTTTCGTTACTCCGTCACGGGGAGCTGCTTCTTCAAGTCCCCAGTGTCCTGTGTGCCCCTGGGAGGTGGGTGGTCGGTGCAGGCTCCCCCCATAGCCAGGCTCTGCTCACTGGGCAGCTCCATCCTGCTCGATTAAAGTGGCTTTATTTCTGAGGGCAGTAGTAACTTGTTACGATCAGGAAAGTTGGTGGTTCAAACCCTCCCTGCACAGGTTGATCCATAGACTTGAACTGCTTCTGGAGAAGCTACAGTCAAGAAAACCTACGATGCCTCGGGCTGCCATGAGTCACAACCGGCTTGATTTCCTAGACGCCGCACCCCTCACCCCCACCCCGCCAGCCCCGGTAGAGAAGCTTCTCATGGTGAGAGGAAGACTTTTCAGCCTCGCAGTTGTGCAGGGATGGCTCTGGGGGGCTCCCCCTCCCCACCCCTCACAGTTAGGTTGACCCCAGCCTTGAGAACAGATCACTTCCCCAGAGTCACCAGGAGCCACCTTGCCCCACCCTCCCCACCTTGGTGAGATGACTCAGATATGCCCGAGACTGAGCCAGGGCAGGGACATCTGGGTCAGGGCTGGCCAGGGGCAGTGCGGGCCAGTGGGCAGCGCCCTTGCCTACTGCCCAGTACTTCCTCCCCTTTCTGCCAAGCTGGGCAACCCCTGGCACCAGGCCAGGCACACAGCAGCCACTTCATGAATGCAGCCGTGAAGGCCGGCCCTGTGGGAAATGACCGTCATTAGAGCTACTTCTCTGAATGAGAAAACAAGAGCAAAGGGCACAAATCATATCCATTAGAATGGAGCCACCCTTGGACGAGGGGCCCTGGTGGCACAGCTGGTTTAAGCACTGGCCTGCTAATCCGAAGGTCTGTGGTTCGCATCCAACAGCTGCTCCTGGCGAGAGCTGGGGCAGCCTGTCCCCATGAAGACTTATAGCCCTGGGAACCTCACGAGGAGGTTGCACTCAGCCCGGGGTGGGGGTTGGGGGGGTCACTATGAGTTGGAACTGATACCATGCGGTGGGTGGAGCTTCTGCAGGGGCAGGAGAGGGTTCTGGAGAACGCTCACGAGCTTTATGGTCAGGGTAGCCTAACTGTTCCCCAGGAAGGGACAGCACACTGGATCCTGAGAGTTGGGGGGTTAAGGCAAAGCCAAGTGCAGGGAGAGTGTGACCGCGGAACTGATGGGCCTGGAGACCCCTCCCTTTGGGCAGTGCATGGGCATTTCCTGGGGCCCTGATGCCCCTGCCCTAAGGGGTGGAGAGGTAAGAGAGCCTCATTATTGTGCCCTTCAGAACCTCACGGCAGCCCTGGGGGACACAGACAGGCACTGGACAGCAAGACTAGAGGTTCCAGAGGTAGCTCGGAAGAAAGGCCTGGTGCCCTGCTCCCCAAAGTCAGCCACTGCAAAGTCCAGGAAGCACAGTTCACTCTGACAGACGCAGAGTCGTCCAGAGTCGGAACGGAGGGGCCAGCACCAGGAGGAGGGGGAGGGGACATACACTGCCGCCTAGGGTACCGAGCCCCAGAACTGGAGAGGTGCAAGAGCTGAGCCTCACAGCTGCTGGCACATTTGGGGCCTGGCCGTTTCAGAGCTAGGGGGCATCATGTGCACAGCCACACACCCTGGTGGCCCCCTCTCCCTTGCCAAGTGGCCACCATGCCTTGGGCTGGAGGAGGGGAGATGTCCCTGAGACAATTCTGTCCTGCCCGCGTCTCTCCACTATGAGCGGGCACGGCAGTTCTTTCTGGTGGAAGATGGGAGTGAGGGGGTTGGTTAAGGAAACGATGGCGGGCTACTTGCCAGTTTGTCCAGCATTTCAGAAAACAGCTCCTTGCCGGCAGAATCAAAAATGAAGAGTTCCTGGAATCAGAGGGGCACGTCAGGAGCTGGAAAACTTAGAAACGGGCAGAGGTGAGGGGTGCACAACGTGACAAACATAACTAATGTGCCGGGATTATCTGTGACAAGACACTGAAATGGCAAGTGTGCTTTATTATTATTATTATTATTATTATTATTACTACTACTACTATTATATTATTAGCCACCAATAAGACAGATAAAAAAATAATGCCGCCGTGAGCATGTTGCGAGGGGGAGGCTAGTCTTTGCAGAGGGACCTCATGTTTGGAAAGGGGGAGAGATGGCGGAATGGAGACCCTCAACCAGGTGGTCTAACGCAGTGACTGCAGCAATGGGCTGGAGTGTGGCAGAGGCTGTGAGGACGGCCCAGGACGGGACAGGGCTCAGGTCTGTTCGTGAGGTGGCTGTGAGCTGTACTTGACTCGACACATCTCGCAACAACAACTACCAATATAATTAATCAATGGTAATCAAAACTCTGAAAAAAGAAAAGGAAGCACGCCCCAACAAAGTCTACCAGGGGGGAAGTTACTGTGCCCACGTGGCTGTCACCGCGGAAACACTGCAGACGGCCACGCGCCGTGGACACGCGCACGTGTACACATTTTCACGCCACTTGCGCGCCGTTCCTCTCCCCAGGCACGAGGCAGGCGGGGAGGGGGTGAGCTCTGGTCACCTCTCCTGACCCCACACAGAATCGCCAGGGCCAGGCTGCCTGCCCACCTGGCACAACAGCATGCTTAGCAGGCTGACCAGCGCTCTGCTTTCCAAAAGGTCATTTTGCACTTTGTTAACCAAATTGATTTTCAGATCTTAAAACCATTCTTCTTAAGGAGGTCAGCGAGCAGGCCCTGGAAGGCAGTTAAAGCAGGGCGGTCTGTCACCGTTCCAGGACGGCCTGACAGCAGGCCCCGGGGGACCCTGCATGCCCTGTCCATGCCATGCCAGCCCACGTGGAGGCCTGTCCGTGTTTCTGACCCTCAGAGCCCCCTGGTGTGCACCGTCTGGTGGTCTGCCAGGCACCTGGGCCATCTGTGTCCCCTGTGCACCCCCATTCTCCACCCTGGACCCCTTTAAGAAGCAGGGGCAGCTGGGAGTCCTCCCTCCACACGGAAATATGCATTTTACAAATCAATTTCCAGAGCTGTTGCATCCTCCTGCAGGAACCTGGCTAAGCCAGTGGCACCAGACACTAGATTCCGGGATGGGGATCCTCTTCTGGTCTGCCCTCCTGTTCCCCCGAACACCCAGCCTCTCCCTAGAACACGCCCTGAATTCACTGATTCCGTTTTCAAAGCTTGGATGTGTCTCCACTCCCCTGTCACAGGGAGGGTGATGGGGACCCCGGGACTTGGCACAGCATGGCCCTCCCACTCCCACACGTGACACGCACCACTTACCACACTGTCACTCGTGTCGGGAACTGGCACCGTCTTCACCACCAAATCCACCCCTGTCGTCTGCAGAGGACATGGCCATCAGAGGGGCCCTACAAGCACCCCAGGTCTTGAGGTCCCCACCCAAGTGTTGGTCTTCCACATTCACTCCTGCGGGGGAGCACTTCAGACTGTGGGGTCTGTGGGGAGCACCATGGCCTCTGTTTCCACCCCTACCCATGGGGCAGTTTACACACAGGGTGACCCAACATCAGGTACCCTGTTTCGGTGTGTCCCACCCAACACCCTTTAAGCCCCCTGTGTAGCCTGTGTGAGGATGACTTCCACTTAGCAGTTCGGGCAGCCTCCAGCTTCTCTCTCTCTCCCCAGAGTCCCAGGGGGTCCCCAGAACCCTTCCCTATTATCCGCAGCTGGGCCTCCCCACCACCTCGAGCTCACCAGGGTGTAGTTCTTCTGGAAATGGGCACCGTCGCTGCGGAAGATCTGTGCCAGGGCTGTCTTGCCCACTGCTGGGTCTCCTGTAAGGTTGAAGGAGAAAAGACTGCCTGGAGACTCCCCCCACCCCACCCCTGTCCCAGATCACCAGTCTAGAGACCAGTCTTAGTGATGTGTTTTCAGAGGGAATGGACTGGCTTCCCCAAGAACGGGCCATGAAACAGGACAACGGGCCTGCGAAGCTCATTACACAGCCGGATGGGTTTCTCCAAGGCCAGTCCTGAGGGCAGGAGGCGACCAGAGCTCAGCCTTGTTTGGGTACAATCCTTCTCCCTCGTAGTGACTCTCGCTCCATCAGCCGACTCCTCACACACTCCTGCTTCTCTCCCAGCCCCGTGGGCATTGGCACACCCCTGGCACACTGTGACCCTCTGCCTGGCACTGTGGCACCAGCTCTTCACCTCCTCACCCTGTCTTACAGTTGGCACAGACACTCCGCTTCCCTCACCTTCTCGGTTGTCTGTCACTATTCAAGTTCCCGCTTCCATTTTTCCCACCTATCATTTCCCCCTGAAAACCATGATCTGACTGCTCCAGCATCTCCTATGATACTAACTCCTGAAGGGCTGAGCGGTCCAGGCAGGCCGTCTGTGGCCACAGAAGGGAACCTTCCCACCACCTCGCCGCCGTCTCTTCCTGCCCGGCCTCCCTGAGTCAGCATCGTGAACTAACACAGCAGAAAAAGAGGGTCGGAGAAGCCGGGTGATCAGCTGAGGTTCCCCAGTGCCCTGCTTGCTCCACTGGCCCTGTCCTTTCCCAGGGCCCGGTGGTCACTCTGATTCACTCCCATTCCTGCAGCCTCCTGACATCTGGGGCCACCACAGCCATCTGTGACCAGGAAGGGCCTGAGTGTTCCACACCAAGCAGGGCTCTCCTTCTGGGTACCGTGAGGACACCCACCGTCCTGGCTCCTATTCTGCTTCTGCATCCAGTTGGCGATAACTCTTTCCGCACACGAAGCCCCCACAGCTGGCTGATCACGTCAATCTCAGCTCCAGTAATCACTCAGAGTCGCCCACACTTAAGGCCAAACCTCTGCTGTCGGCAGCCACCTCTGGCGTCGGTGGCCGGGAGCGCGTCCAGCTCTGGGAAGAAGGGTGCTGCAGCCGGTGAGCGTGTTTACAGAACAAGATGACAGGTGTAAATTCAAACAGCATCACTGAGAACTCGGCATCAGAGGAGCAGCCAGGAGAGAAAGACAGAGTGAGTGGACCAGCCTGGGAGCGAAGCCCTGGGCTGTCGGCAGAGAGAGGCCCCGCCTGGATGACGCAAAGGGGTCACCTGTCGCCTCGTAATTCCCAGTCCAAGGGTCTCTTCTCTGTTCCTTCCCATTTCCCTGACTCCGAAGGCCCAGTCAGCCCTGTGGTGTCATGTGCCTTCAGTCTCCTGGCTCTGTGCGGATCTGGCTTTTTACCCATCGCTTAGAGAGTTGGCTTAGATCAGCTGGCCCAGTAGACAGAAAGTGATGCTACCAAGCCAAAGGTGGGTGACTTTAATCAGTGGCCCTCAGGCCTATTTTCCATTGTTTTTGTTCAAACACTCTTCTAGGTGGTATAGCCCTCGTGTGTCCATTTGTCGTACAGAGGTAACTCGTGGTAGCTGTGAAACTGAACACTGACGGCAGACAGTGTTTGGTGGAGCTCCCTGATTAAAACAATCTTGGAAGCAGGAGTGGCATCTACTTCCATAATAGCTTGCCTCCAGGAACCCTATGAACCTGCAGAAAAGATCAAAGTCACACAAGTGTTGAGAACTCCCATTCACAGGGTCGCTAGGAGTCACCTACAACTCAATGGCACTTAACAACAACAACAACAACATCAACAACGAGGGTACCCTGTGCTCCTCCACCTCCCGAAGGTGGGCATAGCGGAGGGTGCATGCCTGTTGTGGCTAAAGGCCACCACATCCTAACAGCGCCTCCCCACTGTGACCCCAAGTGACAGTGCATACCTGCTCCCATCGATTTTCAAGGCTGAGCAGAGCCTCTGTGGCGTAGCACACTACCTACCTGTCAGGGGACGGACCAGAAGCTCAATGGTTCAAACCCGCCCACCAGTCACTCAACAGAGGCAAGGAGGGGCAGTGTGCGTCTGCTAAGATTTACAGCCTGAGAGGCAGTGGGCAGTTCTGCGCTGTCCTCCAAGGCAGCTAGGAGCCAGCATGGACTCAAAGCTTGTGAGATACCTTCACAGGAGCGACTGCCAGGCTGTTCCCCTGCAGAGCCTCTGGTGGGCTCAATGCAGACTTTTCAGTGGGCAGTGGAGTGCTTCAACACTGCGTCACCAGGGCTCCTTGTTACCACTCTATTCATCCAGGGGCAGATGGAAGGTGGAGTCCAGGTTACCTGTGCTGATGTATTCATTGGTGGTGAATTGTTTTACACAAGCCTCACCACATCAAAGGCTCAGAACTGTGTTCTTTTGCCAGGCTAGTTTTGAGGACCCTGGTGGTGCAAATGGTTAAATGCTAGCGGAAAGGTTGGGGGTTCAAACTCATCCAGGTGCTCAGAAGGAGAAAGATTTGGTGACCGGCTTCCACAAAAATTACGAGGATACCGCGTGGGGCATTTCCACCTGTCCCATGTGTTGCTGGAAGCAGGAACCAACTTGATGCCATCTATCAAGAGCGGCTTTATCCTGCCCCTCAAAGGTCCCAGCCCTGGGCAGGCAGTGTCCCCTTTTCACAGTCTGTGCCGCAGCCCCACAGGGTCTGTGCTCTGACCTTCCAGGTTCTGATAACGCCGCCCCTGCCTCAGAGACGCCTCAGCTCAGGGCTGACGCTCCTTTCTGCTGTGACGAAGTGAGCTGTCTTCCTTGTCCCGTTGGCCCTCCAATGCCTGTTTCACTAATACCTTCTATTTAATAGGTGCCTTTGAATTGTGGCGTCACTGTAAAAAGAACACACAAATCTGTCTTGGAGGAAGTGTCACCAGGGTTCCCTTCAGAGGCAAGGAGGGTCAGACTCTGTCTCTCCTACTGTGGGCATGTTTTTGGGAAGTACGCTGGGAAATGTGGAGGGACAGGGCCAGAGAGGAAGACCTCGACAAGAAGAACTGGCACAGAGAGTTCAACAGTGACCCCGGACAGGCGTCCACAGAGCACGGAGATGCACGGCCAACTTGATGGCCCAGCTTCAGTTCTCTCTCTGGAGATCCCTAATGCAGCTTCCCTGGACTGGTCCCTGGCTCATGCAGTACTCGCGTCCCCAGAGTGGTCTCCGAAATGCAGATCCTCAAAGATTTTGGTCACACTTTGCCCTGAATACAGGGCTGGGCTCCCTGGTGGTGGGGAATGGACCCTTGTGGCCTGTGGTGGCATCAGGGGCCAGGCCGCACAGCAGCTGGGCACACCCCTCCTCAGAACTGAGGGCCCTGGCTCTGTGAGCAACTTTCCTGGCTAAGCTCGGACCACTCCAACTTCCATCTACCACTTCCGGGTCATCTGTTTCCTTCTTTTCTGTCTTCCAACATCTGTTTAGCCAATTCCACATCCTAGGCTTTCTCTGTCGAAATGCCTTTGCCTTGACTGAGAGGACTTTCCTCTACACCATCTGCAGGGTGGGCTTCCACAAAATCCATCAACAATCCCTTCCACCCCACCCCTCACAATCCACCCCACCCCTCACCTGACCCACCTTCCAACCTCCTCTCTAACCACTCCTTTGTCAAACTCAGGGTGATTAGTCCCTAAAGACTGAAGCCACTTCCTCCCAAGTCCACCTCCTGAGCATTCACTGCCGGGCAAAGCACAAGCAGTACCTGTCCTGCGTGGCTCTGAAGGCCATCCGTCTGTCTATCTTTACTGCATGGCTACTGCAGCTCAAAGCAGGTAGTGCTGCCATTTGAGGTCAACAACAGTGAAGAATAGTATAGTGTTTAACTGTTATGTACTGTCAAGTCAGAAATGACTATAGCTGACTCTTCAGTGAACTGTGTCGAGATTAGACTGGCTCAGGACAGGGCAGGGTTCAGAGCTGCTGTACATAGGGTCGCTATGGGTCACAGGTGACTCGACGGCACATAACAACAATTGCATGGAAAGAGAATGCCCATCTTTCTCCCAGGGAGCAGCTGATGGATTCAAAGGGGGTACCTTGTGTTGGTAGCGTAACTCCTCACCTTTAACTTACTAGAGTTCCCTAAAAAGCATTATTACTCCTGCGTATTCCATCATATTACAGCACAGCCTCGGGTGCCAGACTCTAACCCCACTACTTACGAGCTGTGTGACTTCTATTACTTAATCTCTATATGTCTCAGTTGCCACATCTATAAAATGGGAGTAATAAAAGTACAGATCTCCTAGAACTGCTATAATGATTTAATGAGTGACATTTGTATCCCACAGCTATTCTCCAGGTTACCGAGGAGTAATAATGTCAGGGTGGGGACCAAGGTGGGTCTGATGCAGGCTGAGAGCTGGACAATGAAGAAGGATGACAGAAGATTTGACACCTCTGAGCTGCGGTGTTGGAGAAGAGCACTGGACATCCCATGGACGGCCGAGAGAACGAACAGATATGTCTTGGAGAGGGGACAGCCGGAGTGCTCTTTGGAGGCAAGAATGATGAGGCTTCACCTCACACACTTTGGACATGTTGCTAGGAGGGCTATTACTTGGAGAAGGACATGATGCTGGGAAGGGTGGAGGGTCAGTGAAGGAGAGGAAGACCCTCAACCAGGTAGATTGACATGGTGACTGATGCAGTGGGCTCTTGTGTGTCAGGAAGTGTGAGGATGGTGCAGGATAGAGCAGGGTTCAGTTATTTTGTTCACAGGGTCACTAGGAGTCGTACGTACTTGACTCAATGGCATCTAACAACAACAATATCGTTATATAAGCAGACTGCTAAATCCTTCTCCTATGGAATGGCTGGTAGGTTTGAACCACTAAACTTCCAGTCAGCAGCTGAACATGCAACCACTACACCTGGCACATAGTAAGTCACACTCAGCTGTTTATTAAGCAGATTAAATATAGGCAAATATAATTGTCCTTAAACAACATGCCTGAGAAACTCT